ATATATATATATATATATATATATATATATATATATATATAGATATAATACGATCAGGAGCTGGAGTCCTTTTCTAACATTTTTGAAACTGTGTATATGTATGTCTGTATGTGTGTGCGGATTTTTCGAAAAATTTTCATGAATCTTTGTGGAAAATAGAATCAAGCTGAAGCTGAATGTCGGCAATTCAGTCACATAATTGGCTGCATTTGAGAGCACTTCTGGGCGCAATGTCAACCCAATCGGTAGAGTAGTTGTGAGATACAGCAATTAATCAAAATTTTTTTTTGTGATACCTGGCTCAAAAGTTCACTTTTCGAAACCGTTTAGTGTGCGTAAAGTGGTTGTTTTACTCACGACGTGCACAAAGTTCAGAATTCGCGCGTAAAGTGAATTTCAAGTGTGTAAAGCAAAGTTTTATGCACTACGTGCATAAAAACAACCACTTTACTCCCACTACGGTTCCGAACAGTGAACTCGGCAGGTATTACAAAAAATAGGATGGGTTACGCGTCTGTGCGAAAAAGTGGTTCTTTACGGACTTGTAACACAATATACTATTTAAAATTACTCATCTATTAAGCAATGAAAAATTTTTCAGCCCCCATTACCGATCAATTACGTTATGACGTTCGTGATTTTTTAATATGAAATATGAAATTAGTATTTCATAAAATTTTACCAACAAAAATGGACGCCAGTCGATGTATTTATTTTAAGGAGAGAGCACCGACTCCTCTCCAATGATCTTCAACTAATAATATGATTTATCAAAATTATAACTAACTCAGAAAGCTACAAAATCCTTATCTCAAGGAGAAGGAGGGACGATACCTCCTCTGTGGGTTTCTCCTCCACTTTCACACCACAATGACAAACACAAAGTTATGAAAAATGATGAAAAAGAAATATAATTTCGTTCTAAATGTTACATGAATAATTCGTATTTTGCAGAGAAGTATCGTGGAGGTTTAATTCCCGCAAATATCGATAAAAATACTATACAAACTAGAGATTGTAATATGGTTCTAACAAAATTTGCTTCTCAGCAAGAAAATCTCCTGAAAGGATACTAATAATTCTACTTAAAGTGAAATTAAATCCTAATGCTTCAACATTTACATTCGAAATATCTTAAGGTCTCTCACAAAACATCAGAATTATCTGGAAAACTGAGACGAGAGTCGTCATCAACTCCCAAAACTCAAAGTGACGCCAACTAATGGCGGAACGAGCCAGAATAATGGACTCGCCCAATGACGCTAACACAAACAAAATCCACCCAAATTTGAATTTTCTTCAATTTTAACTCAATTTCGTGCTTTGCCCACCTGCCTATTGGAGATTTCACCTTCCTCCAGAATGAAGCGCAGCTCCGAGGACCAATATACAGAAAATTTACTTCAAAATACTCGAAAATTATGCTAAATTAGCAGACGCAACTGCACACTAGGCCAGCCAGGAGTCAACTCTGCCCAAGTGGATGCTGGGTCGCTTGGAATACCTGCTTGGGCGATTTCATGGGGGAATTTCCCCCTTTCATTGAGAGACAACTATTTTGATTGGATGTTGAAGTATTATAATAGTCGAAATTTCTAACAAAGAATATGAGTGGCTTAAAATTTTAGGAGCTTCTATCACAATTCGCAGAATACGAAAATTCTCTATATATCGATTTCTAACCGAAATTCTGCAAAAAATTTCTCGATGAACAAAAATATTTATATTGTGAGTTGATGTCTAGGAGTCTTCTGATGACTCCTGGTGGTGTTGGATGGTCGAAATGAAGCGGTTATCCTCTTTCAGGTGTTCCTCATGGCCCGGATACCCGGGACCTTTGTCATCCAGCGTTGGAGGCATTGGATCCTCAGTTGAAGACACCTGGTGTTACCATTAGAAATGGCTGTGCACGGTAGAGGGACGCCATCACCCCATCCTCTCTCATGTGGGACTGGACGGATTGGTCTAGGTATTCTCTGGCCTCAAGAGATTTTTCTCAAGGCCTCCTCTTCTTTCTCGAATCCGTTGACCAGGAGTTGTACCCGACGAAGACGACAAAAGGAAAATCATTATGATCGAGAAGGATTTTTATAATTTTCTTTCCCGATTCCTCGGATAGAGAGTAGCCCTGGTGTCTCAAGAATTTCATTTTACACAAATATTCAAATGTAATAAAAAAAAATCAATAATAATATTTTACAGCCTTGGCGACCCACGTCGTCACAACGTAATGAAAATTTTCCCACGTCTTATTACTTATTAATCAAGTAACGGGAATGTTTCTATCCCCCATTAATTATTGGAAAAATAATAAAACTTGCGCTACACTTTATAACTTATTAATAAAGTAATGACCATTTTTTTACCCCTCATTACTCATTGAAAAAAAAATGAGACTTTTTGTCTATCATTACTGAATACTTATTGAGAAAATATTGTCTTTCCTAGAATTAGTGATCGAATAATGAAATAATTAGGAAAATTTATTATTAGCTAATGACTAAGCAACGAAAAATGAATATTCCTCCATTACCCATTAAGAAACTGATACGAATTTTATTCCTATTATTAGCAACGCTTAAAGTAATGAACTAATATCAATATAATATTGATATTTGTCCGATCCCTGCCCCTAACAGTCATTTTCCTAATTTATGATCGAAAAATTTGAGTTTCCATGAAGAGAAAAATTTTCCCTCATTTCCATGTGAATTTCCCATTTCGAAATACTCTGAAAAAGTTATGTATTATCATCATCATCCATTGAGGAGAAAAAAGATATTCATTTGTCATCTGGCCCCTGTGTAACAGCGGAATTTAAATAATAAAAAACTTAAAAAATGGCTTATTACTTATCTTCGTAGTACTGTCGTATTTTTATTCGGAAAATACATGAAAAACGAAGGAAATATGTTTTTATTCGTCAAAATCCGTCAATTAGTTTGCAAGATATGATTTTTCAAATATTTGAACTTTTGTCATATGTCATAGACAAACTATTGATGTTGAAAGAGCAAAAATTTTGAGAAAGTCTGTACTTATATAGTACGTGACAGTGAGAATACCAATCCATGATTCTGAGAACCAAAAAAATTCAGGGTGGTTGAGTTGACATGGAATGTCCCATATTGTGTTACTAATGCGTGAAGTTCCACTTTTTCATTGGCATGTGTAACACATTCTATTTTTTGGAGTACTTGCCAAGGTCACTGTTCTGAACGGTAGTGAGGGTAAATGGTTGTGTTTGTGCACGCTCGTGCACTTTACGCACGCCATACGGAAAACAACCGCTTTACGCGTACTAAATCGTTTCAGAAAGTGCACTTTTGAGGCAGGTATCACAAAAAATTAGTAACCTAGTCAGAAGATCCCTTCATGCGTAGACAATTATATATTTTGATTACGATGAATTTTCTTCCGCGTTCATGAAAGGACAATATCAGAAATAATTTACGACGGGTTGTAATCCGCCACCGGTATAGCAGAACAATGACATAGTGCTGAAACACTGCGTTTTTTTCGGAAAAATAGGAAAAAAAATCTAAATCGAAATCGAATCGGAATCGATCTTTTTGTTCAGTTTTCCACCGAATTCGGTTCCCACACCCAGACTCACACACATGCATACACGCACACTTGCCTCGCTCGCAGGCACGCATGGCCTACGCAAAGCTGATCTGATCCCTCACCTCAGATAACCATTGGCTTTTCACCTCTGACACCTGAGGCGCCACTTGATGGATAGGTATCGTGTGAACGCCCCCATTGAAATTGAGGCACGTTTGGACCTTCGATGATTGACACCTGCCACCTTGCGGTCCTTTAATTGCTCTCATTTGCATAGTGCCTTCGGGAGTTTACAAGTGCTCTTGTTTTCGCTTAGCTATTAATTGACGTTCGCTCATTTTATTGCTCATCTCTTTTCTGTTATTCTGTAACATATTGTGTTAACTTAATTGATCAGCTCAGTAACAATAGTTGTGACGAATTTCAGTGACATTAATGAATAAATTGACTTGTGTTTAACCGACTCGATGCGTAGTGATTTCTCGACTTGTCCATCACTCCTGAGAATCCGTTCATGTTTCGTCCATCACTTCATAATTCCATCAGATCCAAATTCGGCAACGAACATTTTGGAACTTCGAGCCGCATCTGTGGAATATTTTTTGTTTTTTGGGGTTTTTTTATAGTTTTTCCGGGAGTGATAAACGGAGAGTGTTTGGACAGTGGTGTTCATCTCACGGCGACCTGAAAACTTTGAATTAATCAGCTCAAGGTGTGCTCATCGAGTTTGCCTGATACGGCATCAGAGATTTGTAGCAGCGATAGATAGGAAATTCAAATTGATCAGCGCACTTAAAGGGACGTGAATACTATTTTCTCTCTCTCTTTTCATTGAATTTCCAATTTTCTGTTTCGACAGAACCTGGACCTGCGCATCGGCTTATTGTTTTTAGATTTTTCGGATTTATTTTTCGGAAAAAATAGCCTTTTTTGGACCATCGTTTTTCCTGAACCATCGGATCTGCGCCTTCCAGTCTCCAGTTATTTTGAGCGGCTCTTTTGCGGACAACCCAAGTTAATTATTTTATGAGTTTTTGAGTTTTTTTCCTGGATTTCGCTTTGTTGGTTTCGACCTTCGCTGTCCCTAAATTGACATCTCTCGCGGAAATTTTATGGTGGTTGTTAATCTGCAGACATCGCATGCGATCTTCGTTGAAGAAACTCTCTTGGATACGACGAAGGCCGATGCATCACAGCTCGGGATTTCCGCGCCCGAGTGAATGCTTGAACTGATCAAGTCATATTGTGAGAAATTTGAAACTGCTCACGAGAAGCTCATCGCGAGTAGTGCTAAATTGGAAGGTCTCTTGGACATTCCTTATTTCAAGATGCAAGTGTTTGATAACACACTTGCAAACTTTCACTCCGCTAAGGTTGCACTCGCTCAACTGATGGAGTTAAAAGGATCTCCTAACTTAAACCAATCCAGGAGGGGATCTCAGCCCGGCGCTAACTCGTCTTATACAACTCGCAGAGCGTTACCGAAAATCGAGCTGCGTAAGTTTTCTGGGATTTGTAGAGAGTGGAGATCATGGCGTGATTTGTTCCACTCTTTAGTCGGTAATAACCCTCAAATTCCGGGAGTTGAGCGCATGCATTATCTCCGTATTTGTCTCTCTGGTGAGCCTCTCAAGCTGATCTCGAATTTGCCCGTCTTTGAAGAATCTTTCGCAATCGCTTGGAAAATTTTAACCGATCGCTATGAGAACAAGCGATTGTTAATTGCCCTTCACCTTGATCAGCTCTTGCACTCGACTCCGATGTCAACTCACAGTGCTGAGGAGCTTAATCTTTTAACCACCTCAGTCTCTGAAGCGCTGAGTGTTCTCCAGGCTCTGGATCAACCCACCGAGCAGTGGGGTCCAGTGGTTGTTCATGTTCTAACTTGTCGCCTGTTTATCAAGCTTCGTGAGGCGTGGGAGAACAAAATCGGTGCAGCAACGGAGTTTCCTACTCTCGATCAACTGACAGAGTTTCTCCAAGGTTGATCCAGGGCGATGGAAACTGTGGAAGTTGGGTCTGGCTCTCACAACTCTTCTAGCTCAACGAAGTCATCTCAGTCCAGCGAAGAATCTCATCCCGTGTCCAAGGTCAGCGCTAAGATCAATGCGATGATTTTCAGTCGACTAGCTTAAAAGTCGTACCAGCTTAACAGATGTATTTAAGTGACATTAGTAAATAAATTGACTTGTCTTTGATCGACTCGATACATGGTAATTTCTCGACCCGCCCATCACTCCTGAGAATCCGTTCATATCTCGTCCATCGCTTCGTAATTCCGTTAGATCCAGATCCGGCAACGAACACTTTTAACAAAAACAGATTAAAAAATCACTCCTTCCTTACATTTCCTGTAATTACATATCTTTTTTTTCAATATATTTATATTCCTAATCAAATGTAAATATACATGATTTATTCAATTGAAAGACATGAAGATGAAAGAGAACGAAAAATGTAATTAATATGCTGATCAAAATGACAGTTCGTTACTTTTTTCACCGATAACAACCCAGAGAAAGGGGTGTATGCATTTAACCAGAGCTAACCTAGTTTTCCAACAAAGTGGCCTGGACACAACTAAACGGAAAATTAGTTTAGAAAATCAATTTTCAGGGTGAGAATGAAGGAAAAGTTTTAACAATTGCACGACGAATTCCGTTCTTGATAAATGACGTCATTGTTGTGAAGTAAGGTTGCTACAATTTGCCTATTTCTACCATGGACTTAGCCCAGAGTAGTGCTGAAGTAACTTATCGATCACAACACAGCAGTAAAACCTACTATTATTGTTGGAAACATAGCCCTAAATATCCTTCACATGTAGAAAATACTTTATCGAGCATCATCTAACTTCAAGTCTAGTTCACCTCAAGTTCTCGGTGAAAATAAATCATATGTAAACTATGCTTAAAAATAATAGAAAATAGCGATCGATGAGGTAGCAAATTAATTTTGAATGTCCTAGCAACGAATGAATCCACTTGCGTAATTAAGGGACGCAGTTGCGTCTCGTCCTAGCAATGAATGAATCCACTTGCCTAATTAAGGGACGCAGTGCTTCAAGTGTTACTTCAATCGACCATCAGCTTAAGGTCCGTTTACAAAGCGGACCTTTAGGGGAAAAGGAACATGAACAAACCGGCCCTCGGTACAGTACTGCCAAATACGCGAGTCAACTTCCCCCTTTACCACCCAAATATCTTTACTTTTTTTTTTTTTGCATTATTTATCTCATCTCAGCACATTTTAGATTTCATAAATGGTTTCATCTATCGTTCGAGTCGGTATTGTAATTTTTTCAAATTTTATAAACAATAGTTGACTGAGAAAATCATTTTTTCATGAATCAGGTGTTGGGATTTATTTAGATTCATTTTTCTAAGCTTTCTAAGTGAAGATTATAATGAGAAAATTGCTACGACTACTACTGATTTCGGAGGAGTGTAGGGAGTTGGCTGTGTTAGATGACGTCACGCCGATATTCAAAAGTGATTGGTAGATTATACACGCGCCCTTTACCTATGCTTGAATACCCGTGACTACAATACTATCCAAATGGAGTGAAGTGGAACTCTTGTTATGATTTTTAATTTTTGATTTCTCGCTTGATATCCCCAAGTCGAAATATGGGACCTCTTTCAGTCCTCTCCAGTATTCCCGACAGAGATATCTGAAAGAGGCCTGTACCCTCATTCGATTCTATAGGGTCTCGA